AAAAAAAAAACGATCCATCTGAGGTCTCGGACCAGGATGGATACTTTTGGGTGTATGTCTGTATGGAGGATATGGAGGAGGTATTTGTATTCTCTGTGTGAGCGAGTGCCTCATTTACGTGTACATGTTGGCAATTTATTCAAAATTTGTGTACTGTATGAAAAAAAAAATGCTAATGTGATGTTGGTGAAACGCTGGTTAATAACGCTGCTGCTGTTGTTTGTTTGTTTTGTTTGTTCGTTTGTTGTTCTCATGGTTTAATGATGTTAGTTGTGTGCCGGAGCTGTGTGTGTAACTCTCCTCTCCCGTTTTCTTCCCTAGAACTCATCTCCATGACTCTATGCTCATCGTTTGCCTAGCATGTCTACGTGGCGTACAAAAAAAAAAAGTCTCATCGTCCCGTCATTATTTCTGATGTCTTTCTGAGTTCTCCTGCTCATAATCTGGTCTCCTTTTACTGATCTTTGTACTTTGATCTTAGCCTGATCTTTTTTTTGGAAAAGTTTCGCATGTGACCTCATTTTGACCTTTTTTTCTTGTGTTTGTTTTGGTTTCTGTTTTGTTTTTTGTTTGTTTAGATTAACTGGTGAGGGAGCGAGGGAGGGAAGGAAGGGAGGAAAGACAAAAAAAAAACAATAATAATAATGTGAAAACGCTGCATTCACACTCTAGAGACAGAGTATATTTACTAACATAACCAGAGCATCATTTTAAGAAAACAAAGAAAAATAAAAAGAAAAAAAAATCCTGTGGCAAAATATTTGCGTTTGACTTTTTTGTTTCTTTTTTATTTGTCAGATTGTTTTTGTTTCTCTCTCTCTCTCTTTATGTTGTTGTTTTTTGTTTTTCATTCATTTAAAGTAAACTTGAACGTTCAATACAGGGATTGGCGTTGGGACTTACTGTCGGCAACACTCTTAATTTGAGGCCTGCCGTAAGAAACCCACGCTGGTTTCTAAACGAATAGACTACTTCCACGCAGTTTTAATAAAAAAAAAAAAAAAGCTGTCTGATCGATATTAGAATCTCTCAGAGCTTGCTCGTGGTTTTTACATTTTTCAGGCAGTGTAAAGTTTTTTGATAAGGCCATTTTAAGTGGCTTGATTTCTCATTAAAGTCTATATAAAACCACTTTTTTCTAGAGTAGTAAAGGTATTAAAAAAAACACACAAGATTGCCCTGTTTGGGGGGAAATGCTACCTACGTGTCACACCTTTTGCTGAACTGACTTACAGTTAGACAATCCGTGGTTTAAATGCACATGAAATGACCTATATTTTATACTGTTTAAATGTATAGAGGAAAAAAAACAGAGTTTGTGTAACCCGCGGTCCCGTCGGTGCTTTTCGTGGATAAAGTCGTGGTTTCATCAAGTCTAACAGTCTTATTTGTCTCATGTTTTTAAAGAGAAGACTAAAAATCAATTTACTTGAACAATAGACAAAGCCTTTCATAAGTACTATTACTACTACTATTTCTTTTGTTTTGTTTGTTTGTTTTTTTCCCTTGTTTTTTGTTCTTTATTTTTGTTTCGTTTTTTTGATAGGAGTCCCTCTTTGCTAAATTTCTTGTTGGGTAATTAGCTATATAAAAATTCTTAAAAGTTACAGTGTCGGCTTGTGAAGCATCTATGTCATTATATTATTTTATTTCTACTGTGGGAAACAATATTTAGATGTGTTATGTTGTTCAGCAAAATGTGATTTTTTTTTCTTATAAAGAAAAAACAAGATGAGTGGAATTTAGTGCCAAATTCTGACGGTACATCCTGCCTACAGCTTCAGTGTTTTACTTGTGAAATTATTTGATAACATGGGTATTTTATTACGTAAGTGTTTTGTATGGAACCCTCATATTTAAAGATATAGATTTAAAAAAAGGTTGTTAACTTGCTCTTCTGTGGTCTTGTTGCCTGAAACTGTTCCTGTTTTTGCTTTTCTTTCTTTTTTCTTTATTTGTAAAGATGTAAAAAGTGCCCATGTGTCATTATCGCTCTCACAAGCACACACACACACACACACACACACATACA